TAAAATTCAACATAAAAGTTTCTTTATGAAAAATAAAATTTTTTAAAATATACTCATGGTGTAGGGTATTATATGGTCGGCCATGCCCGACTATACTTTCCTACTTGTTTTTATATGAAAACTCTAAAATGTTTGTAGATCCTTAACTAACTTCGATTAGGTAAAATAAAAATCTGTATTCAATTTAATTTATTATCAAAAATCGATTTTCATCTAAAGCGTTTTCCACAGGAAAACTGTTTTTTATTTAAAAACCTGTAATCTGCTGTATATTCTCAGAAAATAACTATTTTAAAACAGAATCTTTATTAGATCTTAAATGAATGTCTACGATGCCACATTTGTATGCAGAATAAAAATTACTGAACAAAACCCGCTTCTAAAATAGGGAAAATAATATAATCATATTACATTTTCACTTAAATTCAAATTTTAAATCGGCTGTGGTTCCTTCCTTTAACACCTAAATCTATCTAGAAAATCATTCATATCTCCCCTTAAAATTTCTACTTATATAATTCTTTAAAGAATTACTCTAAATAACTCTCAATTTGAGAACACAATATAGATCCGTAATCACTCATATTTTCCGTACAAATCGAGTTTTATATAAAAAATTTGAATTTATTGTTAATCGAGATAACAATAAAAACCTATGATCAGGTAAATATGCCATCAAAAAATTATCTTGATATAAATTCGGCTGCCATTTTTCAAATGTAGCTCAAATCTAAAAAACCATGAAGATATGTATTTGACTAATCATTAGAGTGTCCCGTAAGACGGCACTTTTTGCAAATCTTATATAGGTAGACCTCTCAAATGATGCATAGAAACTATTATTCATATAAAATTTGGATAAATTGATCTTTTGATATCTTTTTATACTTTTAGAAAATTATCAACCAAAAATTCTGCACAACTTTTTCTGTATGTAGCGCCGTATTTATTCTAAGCTTTTCAAATTAAATAATAATTTTGAATAACTCTAGTACACATTTTCCATTTACCAGTTACAAATTCCGAAATTTTTTTTAATTAGAGGATGACGTGGATATTTAAATAAGTAAAATTATTTGGGTATCTGCTTTGTACATCTAACGATATTCTTCATATTTTTTAGAACAGAAAAAAACTTAATTTTATTATTTTTAAAAGAATTTGAAATCTTCCAAATATTTCATAATTTTGTGCAAAATGTTTCATAATCGTTTCAGAGTTTCTTCAATTGCCTGTACTTTTTCAAATAGAATGAAAATCGCTTGAAATTTTGTACGGTTAATGGTTAAGTGTACGTAATTTTGTAGTTAATAAAATGCTCCGAAGCTTTTTGTCTCTATATACCAGGGGCACTACAATTCAAAGTACAGTGTGACCGAATTTAAACTGAACAGTTCTTTAAGTCAACTGCACATGGGAAAAATAAAACAACTAATTTGAAAGTGTCCTTAGTTCCCTACCAGTGATTGAGAATGCTGATTTCAGTATAATTTCTAAAAAAAGTTTCCTAAACGTTTCTAAAAATTGGTCACAATTTTTTAATTAAAGCTCATTTTCAATTTTTAAATTTTTAAGGGACATTTTTGTCCAGAAACTGACTTTAAGTATTAAACAAAATGCAGAAAAATATAATAACTTTTTTATCGTTATAAGCTAAATTTTGATATCTATTTAAAAAAGTATAGTCTTTGCAGACAGAATAATTTTATTTTAGAAGAAACCCGGGCAACGCCGGGTACGCCCAGCTAATATGTAAATAAATGAAAGCTATGAGTGTTTTGTATCAAATGATGGTTTAAGAAAATCATATTTTTCTCACTGGTTAATCAAAGTTATTAGTATATACATACATATGTATATATCAATAGAAAGGTCTTACTATCTAATAATATATAAAATAGTACTATTAATTTGATTATAATGATTCCAGATAGCGTGTGAATACTTTAAGCAAAAATGTAAATTTTTTTTTTTTTTTGGTGCGATAATGAAATACAAATAAAATTTTACCTCAAAGTGAAAATACGTAATATAGAAACAGGACCTAAGTGTGCAAATAGTATAAAAAATATTGAAAGTTGAGATTTAACTCAAATAAATCTAAATGGGTTAAAAATGCAATTTTCATCAAATATTGCCTTCTGTTCAAATTTCTGGCGTATGTGTTATATTTATATGGGAAATTGTAGAAAAAGTCACTAATTTGTAAATAGAGTCAGAATTAAAATACACCGTTTGAAAGCTTTTCGAAATCAAACATATAACTTTAAAAAATCTTTAAATGTCCATAACTCCAAAGCCAATTAAGAGAGAGACAAAATTTAAAATAAGAAAAATTTTAATTAAACATACTAGACTTGGTTTGAAAATTATGGAAATGGAAGCCGTTTAGGGTTGTTAACTTATTCCTAAAATAATATTTTAATGTAAAATATGGCAACTTACTTCTTAATTGTATTTATATAATCCGTTTGGTATTTATTTAATAAATTTAACCAATTATCAAAATCTTCTTAAATGTTTATTAACAGTTGATTTTTAACACAACACAGTCATATTGTTCTTTTACTACTTAAGATTCACAATATATTAATTACACTATTTTTCTATGGATATTGGAATTATTTAAAACTAAACATGACAGGACAAAAAAAAATACAAAACATCACTGAACTTGGCAAAATTTCTGCATTATTTACTTTAAAAAAATGGAGAATTTATACTTTTTTGTTTTTGTACTCTTCTAACTATCATCCGGAAGTAACTCGGCGAAAACTCGAAATCAATGTATTTTGTTTTTGTAAAATGTGTGCTCTCGTCTGACAATCGTCCAGAAGTGAGTACAATGTATACTTCGAAATGATTAAAATGCAACATAAATGTATACACTCTTCAAACTATCTTCCAGAAGTGACATAAACAAACCCAAAATATACACATTCGGAAACAATTAGGGTATTCACACGCTCGTCATAAAGTCATATTATATCATAAAAGAATAACACGAAAAAATATGAGTGCTGTGAGCAACCCTCATAAGTTAGTGTACTATTTAAAATTTTAGTCAGCTGACAAAAGAAAAAATAATTATAAAAATTACAAGTATTTTTAATAAAAATGCCAAAAACAAGTCAAAAAACTTTAATAATAGCCGGTCTGTGCAAAAACAGTCCATTTTTATAAAAATTATAAAATATTTTCTTGGCACATAAGAAATTGTTTAAAAGCATAAACAATAACAGCTGTTGTCAATGGCTAAGCGGCAATATTTTCTGACGGCGGTTATTATACCCTTCACCTTCGTGAGAAGGGTATATATAAGTTTGTCATTCCGTTTGTAATTTCTATAATATAATTTTCCGACCCTATAAAGTATATATATTCTGGATGTTGTCATAACGGCATTTAAAGTGCAATTCTAGCACTTTTTTTCGTCGGCTGCACTTATTTTTTAGAAAAAAGTGCTAGATGCTTTTTAGCACTTTTTCGTCTTTTGCAAGAAATTTTTAGCATTAAAAGTGCATTTTTGGCATTTTTTCTTCTATTTTGCACTTTTTTATAATTAAAGAACTTTAAAGTTTAATTTCTCTAGAGAACTGCAAAAATTTAGTTTTGAGATTTGAAATTTTAAGAAATTCTCACGAAAACTTTTTGTATATGTTTTTTTGTAATTTATAATTTACACTATAAATTAAACTAAGAAGTGAATTATTTTAAATATTAGGGTGCAATAATCGTACGAAATATTTGAAAAAATAAGCTAAAAGAGCGTTGTTTTGTTAACAATTTAGTGACTACATGCTAAAACGGCTAATATCTTCCAAAAACATTAAAAAAAAAAAACCATTAAAATTTAAAATATACAATAAAATAAAAATGTATGAACACATAAAAACAGGAAAAGTTCAGGGATGCCGAATATTATATACGCACCAACACAAGACGATTTACCAAGATTTGCTCATTTATTAGATTTATGCTCAAATTTTATATCGTGTATCGATTTTATTTTCGGAATAGGATCTCAATGGTTTGGATCACGGACCGAGCTCTAAGAAGGATGTTTTAAAACAAATCATTTTTTCGAATGTATCATAATACTAAAATGTTTTAATAATTTATTGAGAATAAACTTATTTTCTGAAAGAGGATTTATATAGAGGAGAAATTACAAACTAGCGTATTTGAATATAACCCTCATAATTCATTTGTCACATTAACATTTATATTGTTTCCTAAAAGCTCTTAGAAGTATGAGTAATAAATCTGACATATATTCACCGAGATTTAAGATTATTTCAACTGAATTTTCAATATTTTTGCAATAAGAATACCTTTGTGAATATAACCCAAAAAACTATAAATATACAATTTTCTCTTCCGAATTTAACCTTTTTTTAAGATTTTTTAAATGAATAGTTAAAAGATTTGACGTCCTAGATTTTTTAAATACATACTTTTTCTGGTCTTAGACGTCCTAAACTAAGAAAACCATATAGGTTTTATATCCTAAACAAAATCGTTGTTACCTAGTGTTAAGGGGCCTTCACACGGTCACACTTTACGTACGACAAGTCTAATGAAAAAGTAAAATGAAATTCCATCCGTATGTCAAAAAAAGAGAATAAGAGTCATATGATTATTTTTTCTGTGTTTACACGATTGGTATAAGACAATAATAAAGTAAGATAAAGTAAGATTACAACAGCTGTTAAAAAAACATAAACAAACGAAGTGAAAAAAGTTGCTTAAAGTTTCTATTCAAAATAAAAATGCCAAATATTAAAAACAAACAAAATGCCCTTGGTGTTTTAATTGCAATTGCCATAATTAAAAAATATGAGTGCAAAGATAAGAAACGGGTTAAAAAAGTAAGACTGTCCAAGCGCATTTGGAGCCGGGAATGGCTACTACGGCGTTATACCGGAAAGGATATGACGCACATTGCTATAAAGGAATTGAAACTGGAAGACCCAAAAAGCTTTATAAATTTTGCAAGAATGTCGAAGGAATCATTTGAAGATTTGTTACAGCTTATTGGACCCATAATTTATAAGCAAAACACAAATATGAGGGAATCAATTTCAGTAACAACACAGTAAGCGAATTTACAAATTATTGATCTAAAAACTAACCTCCATTTTAATTTTTCAGACTTTTAATAACATTACGTTTTCTTGCAACTGGAAACACCTACACAGACTTATCTTATGGATTTCGTGTTTCAGTGCCTGCAATATGTGATATAATTCCCGAAACCGCAAAAGCAATATATAATGCTTTACATAATAAATACTTAAAAGTAAATTTGCATGGTTTAATTAAGTATCTTATGAGTGTATTTAACGTAAAACTATTTAAGGTTCCTAAAACTACTTCAGAGTGGAAAATAATTGCTGAAAACTTTTACCACAAGTGGAATTTTCCAATGTGTCTGGGTGCAATTGGTAAGCTGAATGTATTTCATGGTAATAATATATAATAAACAATATTTTCAGATGGCAAACACATAGCATTTAGACCAAAATTGGCAGATGGTTCCTACTATTACAACTACAAAGGATTTAATAGCATTATATTGATGGCGGTTATAGGTTTATTATGATAGATGTTGGAACCAACGGCAGAGCCAATGATTCTGCTGCATTCAATGCATCAGAAGTTGGTGATGCAATAAAGGAAAATTTACTAAATTTTCCGGAAAATGGCACTCTTCCCGGATCTAATATAAAGGTATATGCATTTATAAACCAAGTTTATATTTAATATTAATGTTTTGTTATTATTTTAGGTACCCTATGTGTTTGTATCGGATGATGCATTTCGTTTGACATCTATGATTTTAAAACCATACAGCCAAAGACAGTTGCAGGAGAATAAAATTTTCAACTACCGTTTATCAAGGGCAAGACGTGTAGTTGAAAACGCCTTTGGAATCCTATCCAACAGATTTCAATTGTTTCAACGTGAAATAAATTTGTCTGTTGAAAAAGTAGAGTTATTAACATTGGCTTGTTGTGCTCTTCATAACTTTTTGTGCAGAGAAGGGGAAGAAGAGCCACATTGGGATATTATAAATTTAACTGAATTGGAAAAATCTTCTGGTAACAGAAGCAGTGATGCGTTCAGAGATTTTTTCAATAATATTGATATACTTCCTTGGCAGAATGAGGCATTAGTCCTGAAGTTTTTTTAAGCTGTCAATAAAATTTCATAAATAAAAGATTAAATAATAAATAAACAAAATAAATTTAAAAAAAAAAATTATTATATGTATTTATTTGTACTTTTCGAGACTAGACTGCTTTTTAATAAAAAATAGTGCTATATTCAGCTATGGCGAATCTTATATACATACACATATTTTAATTTTTTTTTTAATAATGCGTTACAAACGTCAGCATCAACTCAATAACATAGTGTTATTTTAAATATAATTCCCTTCGTTTTTTTTTATATTCAAAAATAATCAGCATTATTTTGGATACGACTTCATCCTGCAGGTTCTTGTCGGTAATTTCTCGAATATTTGTCCGAAAGAAATTAACAACAGAATTTTCAAATTCCTGTTCTGGTGTTTCAGGTTCTTCTGGGTCGGTTAGTTTTATAATATAATTTTTTGCAACCTGCAGGATATCGTCCGCATCTGATACTGATGGCATGCTTTTAGATTTATTTCTTTTTGACGTTGCAGGCTCTTCCAGGTCAGATTGTGAACTCTCATCGCATATCTGAAAATATGTTATAAACGTTAGCACTATTTTTGAAGTGTACATTATATGAGTGTTAGGGTCAAATATGTCCTAAAGTTTGAAAAATTGACTAATCTATTGAATAGACTATGTATTAGTCTAATTAATAATCTATTGACTATTCTATGTATTAGTCAATTGACTAATCTATTGATTTGACTATGTATTAGTCTATTGAGTAATCTATTGACTATTCTATGTATTAGTCAATTGAACAATCTATTGATTAGACTATGTATTAGTCTATTGAGTAATCTATTGATTAGACTATGTATTAGTCTATTGAACAATCTATTGATTAGACTATGTATTAGTCTAATTATTAATCTATTGACTATTCTATGTATTAGTCAATTGACTAATCTATTGATTTGACTATGTATTAGTCTATTGAGTAATCTATTGACTATTCTATGTATTAGTCAATTGAACAATCTATTGATTAGACTATGTATTAGTCTATTGAGTAATCTATTGAATAGACTATGTATTAGTCTATTCAATTGACTAATCTATTGATTTGACTATGTATTAGTCTATTGAGTAATCTATTGACTATTCTATGTATTAGTCCATTGAACAATCTATTGATTAGACTATGTATTAGTCTATTGAATAATCTATTTACATACTAGTCTATGTATTAATTAATACATATACTAGTCAATAGATTAGTCAATTAACTAATACATAGAATAGTCAATAGATTATTGAATAGACTAATACATATATTAGTCAATAGATTACTCAAGTGATTAATACATATACTAGTCAATAGATTAGTCATTGGTTAGTTAATTGATTAATGTGTGCGTACCTTTCTTTTAAAAGACTGGGGTAAATCATCAATTTCTGATGTGAAGTTATCATCTGTCGTCTGTAAAAGAAATAGATATCAATAAATTAACTTCTTAAATGTATATGTAGCTGTGTCAGTAAAGTTCTGAAACACAGCTTATGTTAAACATTTTAAAAGCTTACTAAAAATTTATTACTTACATATGAAATATTTGATTTGCCTTTTCTGACGGAAACGTAATCCTTTAGAAAATCAAGGTATTCAAACCAATATGCTGATGGAATATAGACATCATCAGTCCCAGCTCCACTTTTTTGGCTCTCCCGGATTTTAAGCAGCTCCCGTCCGTATTGAGAGCGAAGATAATTTATTTTTGTCTATAAAAAAAGACGTTGCTGTTTTATATAAAAATCTGAACGGAACACAATCCAAAAGTACCAAATTCGTACCTATAAAAATGAATAGAAACCTACCTTTACATCATTTGGTGAAATATTTGGAACTATTTGCTTTATATTTGTGGCAATTGTGTCCAAAGCAGCTGCTCGTGCATGCTTATTATGATAAAACTCATGTTTAGGATTATATAAGCATTCTTTGGATTTCCAGGTCTTCACCAGTGCCAATACCGCAGCTTGACTCCACTCCATCTAATAAATATAAAACAAAAAATATTTATATACTTACATATGTAACTTGTAACCTTAAAATAAAATTAATTACCTTTAGTAAAGATGGAGAAAAATCATTAACTTTTTCTGAATTCATTTAATTATTAATTAAATTTTGAACATGATTAATTTAAAAATATTTTCACAAAATAAGAACACTTGTTTGAGCCACAAATTATATTTGATTTGCTTTTTTTTGCACAGCTGTTTTGCACATGATTTCTTTTGTTTACATAAAAATGCATCCCTGATCTAATGAAATTTTCTTGTTTTTTTAATCATTTCAAAAAATGAAGAGAGCCATACGACTGTCAAATTTTCCATCCGTATTTTCTCTCAATGTGTGATGGTTTCATTACATATTGCGTTTAGACGATCCCATCCGTTCTCTTCTACACAAAATTTTGACAGATCATATTACTTGTGTGCCCGTGTGAAGGGGGCTTTATTTGTTATTTAATATACATATACATATATATGTATATACTTAGGGGCATTAAACAAATGTTCGAACAGGTTTTGTACCTTACCGTTTCCGATTTTGATAAAACTTGGTACATACATTCTTTGTATCAATACGAAGTTTAAAGTTCTTCAAAATTTCAAAATTCATTACGGTTTAGATTTTATCAAGGTTCAAAGTTCAAATTTTTTAAAATTTTTTTCAACAAGCTTTAAATTTGACATCGTATTTTTTATAAAATATCTAAAACGATAAATATTTTATAAAATATTAATCCTAATTTGTTGACTCAAACGGTAAGTTTTTTAATTGTGTAAATCAACTTTTAGTAAAATAATTCTCATCATTTCCATACAAATTTCAAAAAATTTAATTTTTTGTTCATAAACAATTTAATTTTTGTTTCAAATTCTTAAACTTTTTTATGTTCATCATCAAATAAAACATAAAATTTTTAAATATCTTGAATATTATCAAGCTACAAGACATAGGCTTTCATTGGGAACTAAAACGATTAAAATCGGATAAATAGTTCAGAAAATATACGATGTAAAATTTAAAGCTTGTTGAAAAAAATCCAAAAAAAAAAAAATATGAAATTTAAACATCGATAAAATCTGGACCGTAACGAATTTGAAAATTTTAGGGAACTTTAAATTCCGTATTTACATGAAGAATGTGTGTACCGAATTTCATCGAAATCGGGGAGGGTCATGTTCAAAATCCTACTTTTTGTTTGAATTTTTTTTAAAGGGATTTTGTAAAGGGATATTTATATAGGCAAGGTCAAATCATGGACCAATTTGAAATAGTATTTTGCATTTTCGTTGAATTATGTGAAAAATAGCGACCTGTACATTATACCTGGACAGCCAGCCGCACAGACGGGTAAACATGGCTTAATGGACTTTTAAAAACTTGATTTGAATTTAGCACTTTTTTCAACGAATTTGCACTTTTTTGACCGTCATTTTGCACATTATTCTGAGGGAGTTCTGGCAACACTGTTTTTCAACCACTGGGTGAGTATCAAGTAATAACACACCACTGCCCCTTGTACATGGATATGCCGGTCCATGTACAAGCACTTTGCTCAAGTACTCGAGCTATATAATCTCTTGCCAAAGTAGTCACGTTGGGGAAAGACAGGTGTCATGAGCAAGCTCAATCTACCCCGACATAATGTCGCCCAATCACACTACTGATATGTGTATCAGTCTTTTAACCAAGCACCCCCTTCCTGCGATTTAGGTTTCAACCACAGCCACTACGTGGATTCCGAAGGAACCTCAACCAACTGACCAGCCAGGACAAGTCCTGTGGGCAACTGGCCACCCGTAGTACCAGATTATGTGCTGCTCTGGTTAGACCTCTTTCCAATTTATGCAAGGCTAGGCTAGGCAGTAAATTGTCAACACCAATTTATAGTCCCGGAAGACTACAGGTATTGGTAGCACCTACCTACCCCCGGATTGCAATACACCAAGATGCGGTCTGACATCAAGAAAACATGACGGGGGGGGGGGGGCTGAGAAGGGTATATATAAGTTTGTCATTCCGTTTGTAATTTCTATAATATAATTTTCCGACCCTATAGAGTATATATATTCTGGATCCTTATAGATAGCGGAGTCGATTTAGCCATGTCCGACTGTCTGTCTGCCTGTGTGTATTTTGAAATCAGTTTTCAGAAGAGCCCAGATATCTGCGAGATCCGAATTTTCAATAATTCTATCGGAAAAAACGATCGAATAGAACGCTATTTAAAATCAGAAATAAATAACAAAGATATGAGTAAAAATCCGAGACCACCTCTGAAAATGTCATCAAAAATTTACTTTTTTCGTGCACACACAAAACAATAAACAAACAAAAACAAAACACAGTAATTTTTTTGTTATTTGTTATTGTAATTCTTTTTGTTATTTGTTATTGTAGTTCTTTTGGTACTTTTTCGTTATACAAAAGGTACTTTTTGAATTTTCTATAATATTGAACCTAGAAACATGAAATTTAGCATGTAGGACCTTGACTAGGTAAGAACCTATTAAAAGGGATTTTTGGTACTTTTTCGTTCTACAAAAGGTACTTTTTGAATTTTCTATAATATTGAACCTAGAAACATGAAATTAAATATGTAGAGCCCGGATTAGGCCAGAACACATAAAAGGGGACTTTTTGGTACTTCTTCGTTCTACAAAAGGTACTTTTTGAATTTTCTATAATATTGAACCTAGAAACATGAAATTTAGCATGTAGGGCCTTGACTAGGTAAGAACATATAAAAGGGGACTTTTTGGTACTTTTTCGTTCTACAAAAGGTACTTTTTGAATTTTCTGTAATATTGAACCTAGAAACATGAAATTAAGTATGTAGAGCCCGGATTAGGCCAGAACACATAAAAGGGGACTTTTTGGT